GATATTATATTAGTGGCTCCCCAATCTAACTCCACTTTCATGTGTGTGTCAGTATGTGTGTGTGTTTTAGGGAAAGATCTTTCTTTTGTACTCTCTCAGCCAAGTGAGTCTGCTTCTTCTGAGTTTATTTCCCCATATTTGATATACTTCATTGTGAATCTGGGTTATATGTTAATTCTTTTGTATTTAATAAAATCCAATTATGCCTAGCTCTGTGTGAATGAGATCTACTCAGCCCAATCTATGTCAAGACACACTATTGTCAGTGTTCAAAGATTCCTTATAGGTGTGTGTCTCTGAGCACATGTGAGTGCACACATGGGCTCTGAAGAGCATACCTGGTAACAACTAGATGTTCGGGCAATCATGTGTTTGCTCCAACAATTTCCCCCCCCCATGGAATTTCCTGAGTGATATATACTGTAGCTAACAGACTTGCTCATAATAATCATAATCTTAGAAATACAGAGCTGGGAGAGATTACCGAGTCCAGCCCCTGTCAAACACAAACACAATGGGGAATTGAACCCCCAACCTCTGGCTCCATAGCTAGATGCCTAAACCACTGAGCTAGATGTTGCTCAGCCAGTGGAAAATCACAAAACAAAGCATGCTAAAGCTCAAGACATGCAGGTGGGGTGTGGGTGCCATGACAAAAAGACATGTTTCATTTCACAGAATAACTCTTATTTTTAAAAAGTGTGAAATATATACAGTACAATGTGTGATTTCATTTGACAAAGAAAGTGTCTTTAAGACAAATGAAAGTAACTTGAAATAGGTTACTCACTGTACTTCCTGTAAGGTAAATAACAACAGCAGTCAGTCGGCAGCGGTAGCAACACTTCATGCTTGTTTTTACTTTTTGTGTGTTTCACAAGAACCGAACCCGAAAAACCCACAACAACCACCAGATCCCGGCCGTGAAAGCCTTTGAGAATACAAAGTTAAGCTACGTTACCAAGGCTGCATGGTGTGGTGTCAAGAGCAATATATTAAAACCAGTTCCAGAAACTTTACCACAAATCTTTAGTCATTGTCTGAATATCTTTAATCTTAAACCATGGGGACATTTTTGGGACCACCAGTGCTTCTTAATGCAACCAAAATTGTTTGTGGAGAGTATCAGTAGTCTTTAAGACAAATGAAAGTAACTTGAAATAGGTTACTCACTGTACTTCCTGTAAGGTAAATAACAACAGCAGTCAGTCAGCAGCAGTAGCAACACTTCCTTCATGCTTTTTTTTTTTTACTTTTTGCGTGTTTCATATAATCCTTACAGCAGTCTGGTAAGGTAGATGTGTGTTGTGATCAACAATTTAGAAAGAGGCAAGAGCTAAGGCTGACGTCTGTCTTGCCTAGTGACTTTTTTTGTTTTTACATGTACAATTTTTTTTGTTTGACTTATTCTAACCTCCAAAGTACAGTACTGTACTACAAAACCTCTTGAACTGGAGACAAATATAGAATGAGTACCTACAAACACATTCTCTGAAAAGAAAACTTGGCTATGTAGTTCCAGGCTGACTTGGGGCAAGGCTGGGGGTTAGGTGGGGTGGACTGGGGAGGACAGTAGTCTCTGCCTAGAAAACCTGCCACATTTTGTGTTAAACTCACCTCTCCTTAAATTTGCCAGACTGAGTTCTTCCCTGTAAAGTTCACTGTTGCCATTACATTATATTGTATTGTCATGCCACATTATATTATATTATA